TTCTCTTAATTGCTCATGTCTTAGTCAACCTTATTATCTTTTGTGAAAGGCAAATAGCATTTCGTATCTGTTCTCACCTTGCCTCTCCTTATTTTCTGTTGTTCTACACCTTACCATACTGTACTCTGCAGTACACTTATTCATGCAATGTGACATTCACTCCTGGGGAAGAGGGCGTGCACATTATATCATGCCACAAATCAAGAGTCAAGGCATGAGCAATGGCAGCAGCAAACTATTATTTCTTGTTGTATCCGTAAATGGCAATAGGCATATCCTCTGTTGCAGCAGCAGAATCTACAGCATCAGGGTATCCATCAGGTTTCCAAGGTTTCCTAATCGGAAACTCTGAACCACTGCGGGTGCAAGCTGCTCGAAGTAACTCTTGGTTTCGGTGCTGACGTTGGCAACAGCAGGAGCAGCAGCAGCAGCAGCAACAGAGACTGCAACAGCAGCACCATCAGGCGTGTTAGTTGTACGCAGCATAATTGCTGCATGCCATCTTGTACTCTGAACTGTCTCTTCACCATCTAGTCCGCACTGGTGAGGCTTCAGGATGAGAGTCACTGATTTGGTGGCCTCCTGAAATCTTCATTTCTAGGTTGCACTGAACTCGTGCAATCCTTCGTTCTTTTGGCCTCCAGCTTATCCTCTTACCCGTATATCTAACCTTTTTGGGTATGTCACGCCTAATAAAATATTGATTTGTTTTGTGATGTGCGTCTACGTTACCAGCCCTTCATTACATTTCTTCAGCGAGAAATTGATGGACATGACCGATTTACTGGGATTCATCTAGGACTAGCTGTTGTCTAACATCGAGAATGCTTATACCAAGGTTCCGAATACTTATCGAAATTCTAGGCTGAAGATAACCTTCTGTTTACCCTAATCGTCTGAGAACCTGCATTTACTCCTCTCGAGTAATTCGTTTTTTAATTAATTCCTCGAACCACCCTCATCATGTATGCCTCTGGTAGGTCTGCTCATCCCACTGCCGCCATGCCGACGTGGGAGCCACCCTCCGCCAGGTCAGCTTATCCCACTGCTGGCATGGCGCCATGGGGCGATCCGGCGACTCTTCCAGATGCTTCGTACGTAAATCCCCCGTTTGTAGAACCACACGTTGCAGCACCTCCCGTTATAAGCTCCTCTGCCTTCGGGTTTCAGGCGGGGAATTCGTCTCGCCACGTCAGTGTGACGGCTCCACTGTTGGAGCCCGCAGGACCGTCCGATGCGGATTTCGCGCCGAAATCCATGGACGAGCGTTTTCAAAGCATCTTGGCGAAGAGAAACCGCCAGGTTCGGGCTACCGAGGCCGCGGCTCGGCAGACAGCGGCGCGTCAGGCTCGGATCGCATCTCAGCGGCAAATCACAGTAGAAGACGTTCACGCCGTGGCGAACATGGCGCCGGATTTTCCGCCGCGTTTCACGGCGCATGTTCCGGTGGCGGGTGCTGCTGGGTTTCATCGGCCACCAGATCCGTTATTGGACGACTCGTTTGTAGGTTACAGAGGTCGTGCAATTGAGAGCGTGGAGGACGAGGAGGAGATGGAAGATGCGACTATAGATGACTACAAGAAAAGTGACTCTAGGGGTGTGATTAATGGCAAACACGCCACGCTGGCACCTGGCGGTTCTAGCAATCCGACACGTCAAACCTCCGATCCCATTGGCAGGCGCTCTGCCAATCACAGCGCTCCCCCGAGCAAAACCCCATCAGCATCCGCCGCAAAAGCCGCCGCCGCTGCTGCTTTGGCTGGTAGTCGCATTAAGAAGAATACTCAAAATGAAACTGCGAAAGGAAGGGGACCTAATCGACCCAACTATATTCGTTCTCCTCCTCCTCCTCATCCTTCTACGCGTTCTCGTTCCGCTGATCGTTCTCGTCGTTCCCCCAACGCCACTGCTTCACCTGCTGGTTGGATTGAGAGGCCAGGGACAGGGAAGGCTGCGCCGGGTCCTGTACTCGATAAAAGCATCCCTGCTAAGAGAGTACCGGTGAAATCGCGGCTCCGTGTTCCTGTACACATGAGGCTGTCGTTTGAAGGCTCGGATTCCAATTCTTCCCGAGCTGCAGCAGCAGCAGGAACAACACCAGCAGCAGCAACAGGAGTAGCAGCAGCAGAGGCACCACTTCACTTGGTTCCCACTGCGGGTATCTTGTCCCTTCCTCCTCATGTGACCCCTCAAATCCCTAGTGGCAACCTTGGTGGAGTAATGATGGCCTTTCACCCGTCGCTTCCCACCCCCTTTGTTGCTGCTCCCACCGGGTCTCTCCTTCCCAATCCCCTGCTCTTTCGGACCATACCTGTGTCTGTTGGAGGTTTGGTAGGAGGTTTGGTGTCTCCAGACCCTAGGTATAGGTTTGGTGCAGGAAGGGTTGGGGTAGGAGGCCAGGGAGGGGGAGGGGGGAGAGAAGGAAGGGGACATGGCTCAGGGCAGGGAAAAGGTAGTGAGAGAGGGAATGCGAGTGTGGCATCGAAAGCTGCATTAGATGATGAGATTGAGTCTTACATGGCTGAGAAGTATACGGGAAAGGGGGGGAGATGATGACGTAGCACTCTGTGGGTGGAATAGGAAGGAGGGTTGCGCTGGAGCTTGCAAGAGGGAGGGTGAAGGAAGGTGGAAGACAGAGAGGGGGGTCCAAAGAGGAAAGTGGGAGGAGGGTGGGCCATGTGTTCATATGTTCGACGGGATGTTGCCTTGATAAGCTTTCTGTAGAGTTTGGTAGCTTCTCAACTAATCTATTTCAACTATATTGATTTGGTTTTCAATGCGATGGCCTACTCTAGTTGCTATCAGATTGTAATGTTGAGCTTCCGTTCAGCTGAGAATTCTAGCAGCAACATACTCAACGGTAACGGGCATGTCGGCGAAGTCCGTGAGAAAATGAAACTGTTTCGTGGTCGTCGCCAACGAACGAATTCCGCGGGCTATACGGGAAAACTGTACCGAATTGAATGGTTCGCGCGCAGCTGGCGGTGTGACGACGCGCTTTGGCTGGACGGTTGCGATTTTATTATCCTCCAATTCACATGTTCAATCGAACACGAGGGATTGCGTTGTATTCGCGATTCGCGGTGCATCCTCCAACGTGTGGATTTGCACATTCCACCCAACTCAAGCCTGCTAAATTTGCGCTTTTGACGTCCCATCATCCAGAGAGCCTTTCCCTCCGTTTCATATTCGCTCTGCTTGACAGAAACGCGTGCAGTTTCCCATCTGAACATAAAAACCAATCTCGGAACATCTTATTGACACATCCGTCAATGGAGCGCCTGGATGATTATCTCGAGCCGAAATCGATGGACGAGCGCTTCCGAAGCATCTTGGCGCAGATAAACCGTCAGGCTCGTCGTGCCGAGGCTGCGACTCGGCAGGCAGCGGCGCGTCGGGCTCGAATCTCATCTCAGAGGCAAATCGTCGTAGAGGTTGATCAATCTGTCGCGGAAAGGGCGCCGCATTTTCCGCCGCCTGGCCCGGCGCATGTTTCAGGGCGTGACTCTTCAGCGGAGAGGCCGCCCAGCAGCAATAGTATGTCGCGACACGGGGAGCGCACGCACCACGGGGAGCGCACGCACCACGGGGAGCGCACGCACCACGGGGAGCGCACGCACTACGGGGAGCGCACGCACTACGGGGAGCGCACGCACTACAGGGAGCGCACGCACTACGAGGAGCGCACGCACGGGGAGCGCACGCACCACAGGGAGCGCACGCACTACGCACGGGCTGTGAACACTGTTAAAACCGGGGTTCCAAGAGTTTCGAAGCTAGGAAGGTTGCTTGGGGCAAGGGATGTGAGTGGCGGGCGAACCAGGGTGGTGTCGAGATTTGTGGACGCGGATCGCAGAGCTTGAGTACCTCGCGTGTGTAACTAGATCTTGAATGCAACGTACGAAATATTTCGTAACAGTTTCGGACGGGCTTCAAATCTTTGTGCGAAATCGTCACTGCTCTCGCTCTCGCTAGTACAGTAAATTCGTGTGACGAAACTTGTCCCGACCATTTGCGAAGTGGGTCACTTCCAACTGGGTCACACCCAACCGAAGTTAGGAAGGTTGAGGCAGTTGAGGCCTGTTTGGGACTCCGGTTTTAAAGAGGAACCTTATACCGAGCATACGAAGCACAACCCCAAGGTTTGGGCCGAACCTGATGGTGTAGGCTCGGCCAATTACAGGGCAGCTGGCACCCCTCCAGCCGTGCACGCTTCCGGTATGGCCGACGCAAAGGCCGCCGCAGATGCCGCTTTCTCTGGCAAATGTTCGTGTCCTCACCGTCAATTTCACCACCCGTCTGAGGTTCCAAGGTTTGCGTACGATGCTCCTCGCTACCCTTCAGGGGGAGGAGGTGGTGGATGGGGAAGCGGAGGGAACGGCAGGAGAAGGCGGAGGAGGAATCGGGGCAGGCGTAACGAGAGGATACCACCTTCGCTGTCGCTGTCGCTTTCGCTTTCGCTTTCGTATCCGCCTCTCTGGCAGAGCGGAGGGTGGTAAGGAAGGAAAGGTTGGCTCTGCCTGGACTCGTCTGCGTTCAGAAGAGAACAGATAAGATCCGCTTTACAGAGATATTAGACATAGTCTAGGAGCGGTTTAGCTGTGTGCGATTTTTTAGAAACAGAATACCCTCTTGGATGAAATGGTAGTTTTTCTAGTATGTTTGGTAGCTTCTCAAACTTGGGAGAGGCTTGTCAAAATTGCTTCAGTAACCAATAGGTGATACAATGACATAAAGTCAAGCAGAGCGTAACAGCAGACATTGACCACAAATGATTACAACCAAACTGCATTCCTCGCAGGCATGTACCTGGCAACCCAAACAACAACCCTCTATTGAAATCCATGTCCCGCGCGCAGCCCTATTGTTAAGTACACAAGCCACCTTGCCTTGCTCCAGGTGCCTGTATATGCAGCAGGGCCTCATCAAATCACCGATTCGGCTGCATCTGCAGAGTTGTGTCATGATGTGGCCCATCTGGAAGCATCTGCCGCGCTGCGTCAGGGGGTGGCCTCTTTTGGCCGCATCTGCAGTGTTGCCAGCAGCGTGGTTGCCAGGGCCTCACAAATCTCAGCAGCACTCGCCTCATGCACACATGCCGACCCAACTTCCCCCTCCCCACTCCTCCCTCCCTCACTCCCTCCTCCCCCGCTCCCCTTGCCCCCACTCCCCCCTCCGCCAATCCCCCCTCCACCTCCCCCTCCACCTCCCCCCACTCCACTGGTGGGAGGAAACACCATAAAGGCATGGTCCAATTTCCGTCTGCTCCGCACCACCACTGACCCTGGCACCTCTGCATCTGCCCTTGTTACCAGCCCGTCGCTAGGGGCTCCGTACCTTGAAGGGGTGGAGAAGGGAGGTGAGGGGTGGAGAGGGGTGAAGGGGTGCAAGCAGCAGTGACTCTCCATCTGTTCCGCACCACCGCTGACCCCGGCACCTCTGCATCTGCCCTTGTTACCAGCCCGTCACTTGCAGCTCCGTACTTGGGAAGAGAGGGAGATGTAGAGCGGTGGAGGGGGGTGCAGAGGGGTGAAAAGGGATGAAACGTGGAAGGAACGAGGAGGGCAGGAGAGCGAGCCACGGCACAAGCCATACATCCCACACCACCACACCAACCAACCCTTTTTGAGAATTCTCAAAAGTGATTCCCAAATAGCCATACATCCCCACACCACCACACCAACCAACCCACCTGTACTCCAGATGAACGGCCATGATCGCAAGCCCAGCCGACAGCGGGAATCCAACGGCCAGCTTTGCATTCTGCTGGGCCAGCCACGGCACTTCTGTATGTGCCACAGTTGACAGCGACGCCACCACCGCTGCTGCCTTACTCGCCTCCGTATGAAAGGACAAACTCGGAATTTCCCCCACCGGAAACGGGTGCTTCGCGAGAAAATCCCGTCGTTTCGCGTGGGTTAAATCGTCCAAGCACCGGATATCCCCGCCGAAAATCTTATCCATGAGAATCCCGAGGATCGTGCGAGACGCCACGTCACCCCACTGCCCTTCCCGAAGCAAATCCGAAGCCACAGGGCTCCCCCCGTAGGGACTCTGGATGAAAACGAGGCCGGCGACTTTGTCGAGTAGGAGGGGTTGGTAGAGGGAGAGCGCTGCTGCTGCATCCATGGCGCCCTTGCTGTGGCCCAGAATGAGGATCTTCTTTTTTGTCGCCCAATAGAGCTCTTCGATATAGTCACGGATGACTATAGCGTTGGCTTCTATGGGGGCCTGCAGGGCGCAAGGGGGGACGGAGGAGAGGGGAGAGAAGCGAAGGGAGGGGGAGGGAGGAGTAAAAAAAGGAGGATCCGGTTTTGTGGCCATGGTTGGTTGGTTGGATCGAGCAGGAGGGGTTGGTAGAGGGAGAGCGCTGCTGCTGCATCCATGGCTCCCTTGCTGTGCCCGAAAAAAGCAAAAAGCCTTCTTTTTTGTCGCCCAAAAAAGCTCCTCGATATAGACACGGGACCATCCTCCATCCACCTGACACCCACTTGACATCCCCCTGACGCCCACCTGACGCCCACCTGACGCCCACCTGACGCCCACCTGACACCTGCCTGACACCCACCTGGCTATGGATCTTGGCGATGTGGCGGATGGGGCCGATGGAGGAGAAGCGACTTCCGAGGCATCTCAAAACCTGCCTGACACACACCTGACACACACCTGACGCTCACCTGTCACCCAACCAATGCCCACCTGCCACACACGCATGAAACCAACCTGGTACCCACCTGGCTGTGGATCTTGGCTATGTGACAGACAAGGCCGATGGAGGAGAAGTGTTTCTTGGTGTCAAACAGATAGAGGGGGCTAAGATTGCTGAATAACCCTGGAATTAGAAGGTAGACCAGGTTGTCTGGCAGTGCATGGATGCCACTCCTGCCAAAAAGAAAAAGAAAAGAAAAGAAAAAACACCGGGTAGACAATAAAGAGAAGGAAACGCGAAAAAAAAAAGAGATTGCATGGATACAGTGGATGGAGTATCTCAAACCCGTCCCCAGTACCCCCAGGCCCCCATAGAAGCCAACGCTTTAGTCATCCGTGACAATAAAGAAAAGGAAACGTGAAAACAAGACATTGCCATGGATGGAGTATCTCAAAGACAAGCCAGCATTCATGGCTGCGATGCCATCACGCCATGAAACAACTTCTCACAAAACACAATGCAGCATCGCCTCATAGTGGTAGGTAGTGTAACAACTTCTTACAATTGAGAATTCTAAAAAAAAAAACGCCACTCAAACAACTCACACGACACACTCCAGAATCGCCTCGTAATTGTCGGTGACATCCGTCACAGGGGGGAGCGCAGGGTCCTTTTTCAGCCACCCAATATCGTCAGACGAGCCCTTGAGAAGCGCCTCCACACCTCCCACAAGCCTGGCAGCACAGCACAGCAGAGAAGAGAGACGAGAGACAGAGCAGTGTCCAGATGAGAGCAGGGAGCGAGGGGTCCTTTTTCAGCCACCCAATGTCGTCAGACGAGCCCTTCAAAAGAGCCTCCACGCCCCCCACAAGCCTGGCGAGAAAGGAGAGAAGGGGAAGAGGGAGGCTGCATCAGTTGAAGCAGAGAGCGCAGTACCTTTTATAGAACTTTGCAGTACCTCACGGTAACTGACAGCACCACACAGTACCACACACACAGTACCACACACACAGTACCTTTGCCAGGACATTGAGATGAGGGGTACAGGGCCCAAACCCTGTTGCTGTTGCTGCTGCTGCGCTTCCTTCCTCCGTTTCTCCTCTTTTTGCCGCTCCCACCCTTCCTTTGCCATTTGGACCAAATCTCCCTCGGAGTAAAAATGTGACTCCATCGAGTGTGATTCTACTAAATGTGACTCTATTGAACGTGATTCTATCTCCACTGGTGCCACTGAACCTCCTTCTCTCTCCCGATCGTGCTTGTCGGGTCTGGGGGAAGATGGGTTACTTGCTGACGTGGACTGGAAGGAACTACGATAGATGTGTGACTCAGGACACGTGTGCTGATGACGTGGAGGGTGTCCTGAGTTGTTGGTGACGTCAGCATGATGGGTTGTGCCGGTTCTGCCAAAACTGGGCGAGCTGAGGCTATGGGGGAACTTCTGATTGGGCAGGTGAGGGGGGAGGGATGTGGATGGGAGATCAGGGAGAGAGAGGGATGAGGGATGAGGGGGAAACGGAGAACGAAGTAGGGCAAGGGAATCAGGTTGAGGTTGGGGTTGGAGGAGGGGGGAGGTTGACCTGGTCAACAAAGAACTGCCAACAACACAGAAAAAACCACTATGACGGAGAAAAGAACACAGCAAAGCTGAAACCCACACCAACGGTTACATATAAGAGTCACACGCACCATCTCTGCTGCTTGTCGGCCTGACAGGCTCGCCCCGACTGCAACACTTGTTTGCTGCTTGTCTGCAACAGCACTGGTTGTGCAACCAGCGCTTTCCAATGCTGCTGCTGCTGCAGCCAATGCTGCACCCGTGTCCTCTGCAGCCCTTGTCTGCTTCTCCTCAACAGCAGCACTGATAAAGCAACCAGCGCTGCCCAATATTGCTGCTGCATTCTCCCCGTTCCCAATGCTTGTTTGCTTGCCTTCAAAACTGCTCGTGCAACCAGGGATACTCGATGCTGCTGCTGCTATTGCTGCCGAAGGCGCCGCCGCCGCTGCTGCTGCTGCTGCTGCTGCACTCATTTCGTCATCAACACTTGCATCCAACACTTCTGCGGTTCCTGCTGCCCGTTCACCTGCCCGCACTTCTGACTCCTCCCCAGACGCGTCTTTGATTGGCGCAATCAAAGGTGAATCTCCCCCTTCTCCCACCTTTCCGCCCTCCCCAAACCCTTCACCCTCAGCGCCCTCCTCCACTCCTCCCCTTCCGCCCTCCCCCTCTCCTCCCCTTCCGCCCTCCCCCTCTCCACACCCCTCCGCATCACCCTCGATCTCATCAAGTCTGTCCCATCCTCCCACTCTCCTTTCCCCGTCCTTCTCTCCACGTGTCCTGCTGCCACTGGTTGTCAAATCTGACGGGTTTTCACCACCGTCAGTCAAGTTATCACGACCATCCGTCGAGTCAATTTCTGGTGCCACACGACAATTCGACTCTGCTGCTGCCGTTACGTCAGCAGAACCTGCTCGCGAAACTTCCTCATTAGAAACATTCGCCACAGTCACGCCGCTTGATTCACTTGCTGCAAGCGCTTCCCCAGTCTCGCTATTAGCATCTCCGCTCCCTTTGCCGATGGACAGGAGGCTAAACGGCAAGTCTCTAATGATGCTCCACGACATGACGCAAACCAGTAACGAAACTCGTCAAAACGAAACTAGTTGTCATTAACGGAGGATTTAGAGCCTGATCTTCAAGGAGTTGTGAGAGAACAACGTGTGAGAACGAAATGCGCAACCGCTATTAGACCTGGTAACATTTGTAACTCGACGAACACGCCTCCACACGTCCGCCTAATGACAGCGGTAACGCTGCGAAATTCGCCAGCAGCGAACGGAGCAAGGGGGCGTTACTAGCGAAACGAAGCTACAGTGGCGGAACGTGAAGGGAGATTCGCGGAGCACTGTGCGCACAGGCTAACGGCGCCACGCGAGGAAAACGGGGAAGGATTCGCGGAGGCGATTGCGTAGTAGACGAGGCATCCCCAATGCTGAGCGAGATATCGACGCGCGGAGCGACGCGAAACTGACTCAGCTGCAAACGCGGGCCGCCGAAGGGAGGAGCTGCCACGTAGTGCTTGCTCTTGTGAGAACGTGCTGATCTGGTGTCGACTAGTACGGACGCGAAGAACAGCTGGTGACAGGCTGGCTGGTGGGACGCAATTTCAAGAAATAGCACTCCCATTTCGTACGCTCATAGACTAACTCGATTTGAATACTGTCCACTCTGCAACTGCCCATTTCTCGTTGCTAAAAATGAAATGGAAATGCCTGGCTTTTTCTCGAATTTCGAAACATGCTGCTAGTGACAGTCCGCCACGCGTCACCCTCCGAGGTTTGCGCTCACACCATGCACCATGCGAATCGCGCCCAAATGTGCGACGCGGGAACTTCACTCATCCGACTAAATCTCGGCCTCCAAATTTGCCCCTTCCATACCACTTCCCTTCCACTCCCTCTTTGTCTGTTTTTCCCCAAAACCGTATGCATGCCAGTTTGCTTTCTTTGCACCGCACGGCTCTCTCCTCCTCCTCCCTCCCTCCTCGTTCGACTCGCACGAGACAGGCAGCATTGGCGTTAAATTTCGTCGCACCGCTACCAGCAGATATTGCGCACGTAGATCTACCAACAGCCGGACTTAGGCGACCGACAGTCTTACCTGCTGACGCCGCTTCTATCCATATCACCGTATTAGTTTTAGTCTTCTTTTTGCTGCCCGGCACAATGTCCACGTGTCCTGATTGGATGGATCCATCAGTGGATGACCGCAATAGGAAGCTCATGTGCCCTCCACCTGCAATAAATGGTGAGGAAGATTGCAAAATGCTCCAAAAGAAAATCAAAGATTCAATACCCTCAAGAAGTGCCATGTGAGAGTTCCCTTATAGGGCTGGAATTCCCCATAAAGAGTCTTTCTATGCTCCGTTCTTTGTGCAGACGAAAGCGTAATGGAGGTGGCAAAGCGGGAGGAGGAGCTTCCATCCACGGATCCAACATCTCAAGACGTGAAGCACCATGGCGACACAGCTGCTGCAGAGCGCCTACATCTAGCGATACCTTCCAAGCCCACTGTTGAACACACAGTCTTCACCACCGAACAGGATCTTTCAGGCCCTTCTTCTGAAGCACCTTCTTTTGAAGCACCTCCTGCTGCTGCTGCTGCCGCCCACACAGCACAGCGACCCGATCAAGGGTCTGTCGCAGCACACCTGCGAAAACAGCAAATGGCGCCAGGAGGTGGTTCCTCAGGCACAGAGAGAGGACGAGGGAGCAGTGGTGTTGGTGGAGGGACTACAGAGGTAGGAGGAGGAGGAGAGGTTGTGGCGGGCGGCGTAAAGGGTGGGAGGAAGGCGAGGCGAGGGGCGCTTGGCCATGTGAGAAACTTCCTGGAGAAGGTGGAGGAGAAGATGCATCGGAGCCCTCGGCAGCAGAGACAGGAGCCAATCAGGCAGGTACACGTGGAGGCAGCAGAAGGGGAGAGGCAGCAGCAAGCACAGCAGGCAGTGCAGCGGCAGCAGCAGCAGCAGGAGCAGCAGCAGAAGGGGAAAGAAGTGGCGCCAGAAGCAGCAAGGCCTGCTGGGGCGTCGGGTGTGGGTAGGGTAGGCGAGGGAGGGAGGGGGACGAGGGGCAGTGGGCTGGAGGAACGCTCAGGAGACAGTGGCTTGACTGCTGGAATGGGGGAAGCAGAGGGGAGGAGGGAGGAGGGCGAAGAGGAGGGCAGATGGGTGGAGCCGGGAGGCAGTAGCAGCCTGCAAGGTATGGCTGAGAGGGAGGAGGAGGAGGGTGTGGCGCGCGGGGCAAGAAGCCCGAGAGGCGGATTTGTGAGGAGGATGAGGGAGAGGGTGAAAGGGGTGCTGCACCCGCATCGCCACCCAGGCAGAAACTGCAAGGTATATGGAGGGGATCGAATATGTACGAAAAAGGTAGTTGGCAGTTCTGTTATTGCTCAGACAGGTGGATTTTAGTGGTGGTAGTTATGTATGCTCTCCTATCAATCTTGTCTGTCTGTTTCTGTGTGTTTAGTCATGCCATACAGCAACGGCGGTTGCCCTATACTCAACCCTCACCTCCCCTCTTCAATCTCTCCCTCCTGCTTCTGTGCTCTCTCTTCTCTTCTCTCTTTCAGAGGGATCTTAGCAAAATGAAAAACACCATTCAGCAACGGCGGTAGCTCCATGCTCACCGTTGCTCCCCCTTCAATCTCACCTTCGTGTGTGTTGCTGCCCTCTCTTGTCTCTTGTTTCTCCTCCCTGATTCAGCTGCATCTCAGCAGCATGCTAACACCATCCAGCAGTGGCTGTAGCCCCATGGTCACCCCGCGTTCCCCTCCTGAAGCTAGCCAGTTCCAAAGGGAGGGCGGGGGAGAGAGAGGGGTGGAAGGAGGAAGGGGGGAAGAGAGAGAGGGGGGGTTGGAAGGAGGAACGGGGGAAAAAAAGAAGGGGGTGTTAACAGGAGGAATGGGGGAAGGTGGAAAGGGGGTGTTGGCAGGAGGAATGGGGGGAGAGGGAGGGATGGAGGGAGAGGGCAAGAGCGGGGGAGGCAGCGAGAGGGGGATTATGGAAGTGAGGGAGGCCTTGCCAACAGCACAGATAGTCCACGTGGCACGAGCCAGCCCTTCCCCTCCTCCCTCCTCTCGCCCACTCACTCCTGGTGAGGCAGCAGCGATCGAAGCAGCAGCTGCTGATGCAGCGAGAACAGCTGCGGAGGAGGAGAGAGAAGCGGCAGCTGAGGCAGCAGCTGCAGCAGCAGCAGGAGCCGCAGCCAAGCCACCTGTTCCCAAGATAAAAAGCTTGGGGGCGGTGGGAAGGGCAAAAGGAGGAGGGGAGGGAGCAGTCAAAAGGTATGAAGGAGTGGGCGAGCCAGCATCAGGAACACGAATGAGCTTTGGTGAGGGTTTTAGAGGAGCAGCAGCAACAGGAGCAGCTGTAACACCACCATCATGGCTCACCAGAGCACGCAGTGCACCTAGCTTCCCTACCACACACAAAACAGCAGCGAAAAGCGCTACTGAAGCCCTGGAAAAGCGTGTCCCGCCTACCCCTCCGCTTCCTGCCACGCCCCCTCCTTCCCCTGCTGACGTGGAAAGCCTGGATGCATCTGCACCGTCAAGTTCAGGAGCAATGCGATCGGGGACAACTGGTGACGTGGCAGGAGGGGAAGGAGGTGACGTGGCACGGCTGAGGGCAGTAGCAGAAGAGCTTATACTGAAGGGGGTGAGTGAGTCAGAGGCGGAGGAGGCTGCAGAGGCTCTGGTGGAGGTGGAGGATAGGGAGGGAGAAATGGCAGAATCAATGAAAAGGGCGAAAACAACTGGATCGACAGAAGAAATGTCAGGAAAGACAAGGAGCAAGGCTTGGGAAGGTGGTTCAGGAGAGGAGGGTTCACAGACAGGAGAGACTACAGAAGGAGTGGGAGGTGTAGGTGTTGCAGAGACGGGAGAGATTGCTGGAGGAGTGGGAGGTGGGAGGGCGAGGGAGGGGAATGAGAGTGAAGGATCAGACGAGGTGTTTTATGATGCCCATGTGTCGTTCTATGGGCCGTTGGATGTTGCAGAGCAGGAGAATCTGAGGGTGGCCGCGCAAGATGCTATTTCAGAGGTTATAGCAGAGGGAATGAAGGGGAAGGAGGGGCCTGTGGTAAGTAGGGAGGGGCCTGCGGTAAGTAGGGAGGGGCCTGTGGTAAGTAGGGAGGGGCCTGCGGTAAGTAGAGAGGGCCATGCAATAACCACGAAGGAGCCTGTGGTGTGGGAGGAGCCTGTCACCCAGGAGATGCCTGTGGTAACCAGAGAGAAACCTGAGGAGGCACTTGAAGAATCACCTGAAGCGTTACCTGAGGCTGGAACGCCTCCTGGTTTGTGGCAGCTGCCGCACGAGGAGACTGGAGCATCAGAACCTTCATTAGAGTCACTTTCAACATCCCAGCCTCCCGATGCTGCTGCCCTCCCACTGTCTCCCATTGTGGCTCCCCTTGTTGAATCACGCCCTTCAGAATCACCGGAGGTAGCAGCTGGAGCACCGCTTCCCCTCCCACCCAGTTCAAATGAGCTGCCTGTTGCTGCTGCTCCAGCTGTTCCTGCTGCATCTGCTCCTCCTGCTGCACCTGCTGCTCCTGGTGCCCCCCCAGCAGCACGCTTCTCACAACCAAAGGAGGAGGCTGCACCCGCTGCTTCCCTCCCACCCAGTTCACCCGAGCTGCCTGTTGCCACTGTACCTGCCACAGCTGCTCCTGGTGCTGCCCCTGCTGAAACGGCGCCAGTTGTTTCTGAGCCTTGGGCTGAGCCAACGACTCCAGAGCCACTTCCTGAGCCTGTGCCTTCCAAACAGCTACTTTTCGAGCCACCGGCTTCAGCAGAAACAGCAGGGGAATCTGCAACCGATGTGCTCCCCGCTGCTGCTGCTGTTGAGTCAGCAAAACCGTCTTTTGCTGCTGCTACTGCTGAGTTAGCAGGTCCCGATGTTGCAGCGGTTGAGTCAGCCGGCCCTGATGCTGCTACTGCTGAGTCAGCAGGGCGCGCAATCATTGACAATGAGCGGGAAATAGAGAGGCAGAGGCTTGCTGTGGCGCTAGCAGTGGTGGCTGTGGCAGGAGCACAGGCTGTAGCAGGAGCAAGGGCTTTAGCAGGAGAAGCCTCAGCCAGGGGTACTGGGAAGAGAATGGAAGGAGGTGGAGACAACACACCTGTGCTTAACGCTGGTGGTGCTGGTGCTGGTGCCAGTGCTGCCAGTGCTGCCGGTGCTGTTGATGCTGATGTAGTGGCCAGTGGTGAACCGAGAGGGGTGGTTGGTGGTAGTGTTGTTGGTGCCAAGCCTGGCGGTGAGCCTGCTGTAACGACTGGCAGTGGTGGTGAAAAGGAGCGTCTTTCTGTGGTTCATGCTGTGATGGCAGCAGCAGGTGCACGTGCTGCTGCTGGTGCCAACGGTGCAGCTGGTGATGCTCGTTCTGCTGGTCCCGCTGGTGTTCCTGGTTCTGTGACTGGTGGTGGTGGTGGTGGCAGTGGTGGTGAGAAGGAGCGCATTTCCGTGGTTCATGTGGTGATGGCAGCAGCAGGCGCACGAGCTGCTGCAAGCACGGCAGGAGGAGGAAAGGACGCTCAAGGAACCAGCAGCCCCAGCAAAAAGACTTTGGGTGGTACGGGTGCAATGGGTGCAACAGGAGGCATCAGCGGCATGGGTGGTGGCATGGGTGGTATGGATGGCGTGAGGAGGGAGGAGAGCGCAGCAAGTGAATGGAGCAGCCAGTCGCAGGAGGGGTCCCCGACTGGTGCAAGGAGGAAGCAGCTGAGAGAGGTGGAGGAGATGATTGGAGAAAGGGATGAAGGGATTACAGGAGAAAAGACAGGGGGTTCTATATCTGAGGTGCCTAAACTACTGTCACTAACTGGTGCAAGAATGACGCTACTGAGCGAGGTGCAGGAGATGATTGAGGAAGGGGATGAGGGGGTAGCAGGGGAGGAGACGGGGGGCTCTACAATGGAGGTACCTGAAATACTGCCACCGACTGGTGCAAGGATGAAGCAACTGAGTGAGGTGCAGGAGATGACTGAGGAAGGGGATGAGGGGGTAGCAGGGGAGGAGGTGGCGAAGGAAGAGGGAAAGGAAGAGGAGAGTGCGGGATGGGGAGAGCAGGCTGAATCGGTGGGGACGAAAGGAGGAATGCTGGGGGCACGGATGATGGGGGAAGGAGAGGAAGGGGCGATGGAGGATGAGGTGGAGAGGGAACGGACTGGAAGGGAACTGCAAGGAGAAGAAGAACAGGGAGCAGAAAAGGGAGCAGAAAGGGAAGCGGGAAGGGAAGCGGAAAAAGGGGCTGAAAAGCAGGGTTCAGGAGCAGAGAGTGAGTATTCTGGCGAGCTGGCTGCTGGGGAGGGGAGGGGGGCGGCTCTCAGAGCGATTGTGGAAGGCGATAGGGAGGAGGGCGAGGAGGGAGAGCAGGATGAGGCTGGGACGGCACAGGAAGCTGGTGTTGTGGAGGGACATGAACCTGCAGCAGCTGGCATTGCTGCTGCTATTGCGGAGGAGGAAGAGGTGCTTGATCGTATTGCTGCTGCTGTTGAGGAGGAGGGAGAGGTGCTTGATGGAATTGGTGCTGCTATTGCGGAGGAGCGAGAGGCACTTGATGGTATTTCTGCTGCTGTTACGGAGGAGGGAGAGGCGCTGGGTGATCGTGATGGTGGTGCTGCTGCTGCTGAGGAGGGTGAAGAAGGGGAGGGGGGAGCTGATGTGATTTCTGCTGGGGAGGGTGAAGGTGCAACAACTAAGATATTGTCTGCTGGGGAGGGTGGGATAGCTGCTAATGCTGCTGCTGCAGAGGAGGAAGATGCGCCTGCTGCTTTTGCTCAAGAAGAGGGAGCGGCGGCTGAGGTTGCAGAGGCAGCGAGAGAGGAACCGACAGACGAGGCGCCAACACTTGGCACCATGGTTGCAGCTATGCTACCCTCGACGATGGTGCGGATGCTGGGGTTAGAAGGTGAGGGCGAGGCAAGCACGGGGCGAGAGGGGGAGAGGGAGATGCTGGAGGAGGCAGAGGAGGAGCAGCGGGAGGAGCAGGCAGGGTGGAAGGAGGAGGAGGAGGGGAAGCAGGAGAAGCAGGAGCAGCAGGAGCAGGTTTGGTGGCAGGAGACGCAGGAGGAAGAGAAGCAGCCTCCAGAAGCTCAAAAGGTAGAAAGTTTCCAAGGTCATGGAGAAGCAGGGGAAGAGGGAACTAAAATGATGTCTGCTAAGGAGGGTGAAGGTGCAAAAGAGATATTGTCTGCAGGGAAGGGTGGAGATCCGACTAAGGGCTTGTATGCGAGAACGCTCGACAACATGATGCCTGGAGTGGATTGGAGCGACGTGGCTGCAGGGGAATCGAGTGTCATGCCCAAGGAGACATTCGCTAATGGTGGAAAGGCAAGCGAGCCGTCTGACACACCACTACTTACCTCTGATGCGGGGGAATTAGCTACATCTGAGGCGCGAGGACAAGGCGAGTCAGGCGAGTCAGGACAGTATGGTCAAGAAACAGGGTGGCCGGGGCTGGCCCGATGCAGTAGGTCAGAGGAGGGCGGAGGGGATATGGCTCAGGGAGGGGATATGAATCAGGAAGGGGTTGTGGTCCCGGGAGGGGGTGTGGCTAAACCAGTGGGAGAAGCGTGGCATGTGGGTGAATCAGGTGATGAAAGGCCGGATGTGATTGCATCAGGGGGAACAGGAGCACGTGTGACTGGGTGGGGGGAAGAGCTGGAAGGGAATGAGCCAATGAGCGTGGAGGAGAGTGCACGGCTGGTGGAAGAAGCAAGAGGGGAGCTGAGAGGGACGCGGGAGGACATGGCTAAAGCACTGGAGAGGCAGATGCGAGTCTTGGCTGTGTGAAGTCTCAAGTGGACGGAGGCTCGGCTGCATGGAGGCTCGGCTGCATGGAGGCTCTGTTCGCTTGGACGTTTTGCTGTATGATGGCTAAACCTGGAGGAGGAAGTGGATGGCTTGAGAGAAGAGGTGGCTGGGAGGGGCTAAGGATGTGGCAAGGCTCCTGGTGTAAATAATAGGAAGGATGGCTGATGGATCAGAGGCGGGTTCTTCTGACGGTTTCTGGGTAGAGAGCCCATGGGGGTTGCAGTTGCTGGTGGTAAAGTGCTATGAATGAGGGGTGGAAGGAGGAAGAAGGGTGGGATAAGGAAGTTGTAGAAAATGCTGTTGCGTGCGTGTCAGCAGTACCTGTAAATAGTGAGCGTGTCCGTAGTACCTGTAAATAGTGACCGTATGCATGCCATTTCCTTCGGCACATGCAATGTTTCCTCTGCTGAAACGCGATTTGAGGAGTGAAAAATTAGATTAGTAGGGAGAAATGTAACAGACAGAGCAACATATACCATAAAACTACACAATTGGAAGGAGTAAGCGCCCCAGCAGCACAGCTGAAAACGGGACAGTGAAATTGTCATCTAGCTTCTCGCTTATGGGACACGATTCCATGAACGTTGCTCCAGCAGCTATCAGCAAAATTCTGAAGCAAATATCCGCAGACCACCACTGGGTGTGGAAGAAGCCAAACGAGCAAAATACATAGAGAAACCTGCATTGGAGGCGGGAAGTTGTAACAACAGAAAATCACCCTAAGATGAGAAGTGATGTTCTCTCCAGCGCTTTGGCCAAACCGCTGAGGTCCTTGAACAAAGAAGCAACAAAAGGTGGTGTCCTGCTCGAGCAGAAGTTGCTTAAAGAGAAGATGCTTACGCTATTGAGAACAGAGAGCCGCAGAGCAGCATGGCAACGCTCCCAGCCCAGCTCTTGCGACTGTTCCAGGGAAGCTTCGCGGAACCCACTCGTCTACCAACTATGTCAGCCATTCCTGCAGAAAAAATAGGCGAAACACGTCAACGAAAATACACAAACAAACGTAGTCCGTGTGACAAGTTTCCTTGCTCAGAAGAACATTTCCAAGGAAAACGAGAGAGGAGGGGATGTACGTACCGTCCCCAGCACACATGAGAACCAGCGCTATGCCTCCAACAGGGGAGCTGCGCCAAAAGATGGTTGTGACTAAAACGATGGTGAGCACATAGTACAGAGGCCCCCGAAGAAGCTCGCTGGAGGATGGCAGGAAGAACAGGCAAGACAGCAGAGGTTAGAAAAAGGAGCTGAAGACCCTTCTAAACTCCTTACTGTAGGGAAAAAAGAAAGGGCAACGGATCTTTGAAGCTATGGAGCTATGGTACGCGGAAAGGAATGAAGCTATGGAAGCTCATGCTCCTGCATATTACTCCCGGAAACAGGAAGACAACGTCAATGGCGTATGAGTGCCTTATCTTCCCCAGCCGTCTTTATGACGCGTGAGTCTACACAAAGCACACCACGAACTGCCTCACCTGGCACTGCCTTCTCTGCTGATGGATTTCACCACTCCCTCGTTCTTCGTGATGCCCGTTCCCAGCAGCAGTATCCGGACGGCATTCGCCACTGGCACGGCAACAGCGAGGAACCTTGCTGCTGGGTTGGAGCTGAACACAGGCAGCGACGCAGCACAGGACAAGATCGACAGGAGGAGTTGTACTAAGGACCAGCGTGATCTCTATCGAAGTTAATCAAGAAGACGTTCAAAATTTAACTTAGGTTTGACTGAAAGGCCTCACCTGAAAAGAGGCCAGGAGAGCATGAAGAGCAGCCCTGTGGTGATGTGCACAATCTTGCGACTCAGTTTCTGCAGTCGAAACAGCAACAAAGCGAACAAACGTCCATGAACTGTGGAGGAAGAACCACAATGGAAGGAGAAACAGGAAGCATTAGAAGCAGCAGAACTTGGTTCATGAAAAGTTTGTTGACAAAGGAGGAAAAACAGCACATCGATATAACAAAGCAATTTCTCCTCACCTGATCCAGAACATCTCGTCGGGCCAGCTCATCAAACACGCGGACCCAAACCACTGAGCCTAGGAGGGTGAAAAGCGTCGCAGCCACGTCCTGCTGCCATGAACCTGCTAACGGCAGCAAGCCAGAAGCTAGAGCGACAATCCCAGCGTTCCCAGACGAAAAGCTAGTTCCAACATCGGTCAGTACAGGGTGAAAAGTCGAAGGTTGCAGGTGGAAGAACGATGTTGGTGCCTGAAGCGACTCAAGTGCAGACCCCCCGAGACTTGTAACGAGTTTTGGAGCAGCAGTTATCGCGGATTCGGCTGCTGCTGTTGCTGCTGGTACATCGAAGGAGGCTGTAACAGAGCTCCGTTTCAAAGTCAGATGCTTCAGTTGTGTTCTGTGAGGGCATGGATGGCAGCGTGACGTCACGCTGTGAGAGAAATAGCCTGTTGACGAGACCCTGGATTGAAAGCTACCAATGTCTGTCAGTTGACAGTGCGTAACAGAAATCGCCATGGTATGGGCTCGTAGTAGCCTTTGATGGGGAAAGACCACAGGTAATATTGGCCTTTTCCGCGTAGTAATATTGCCGCTTAGGCGAGGAAGTTGTTGTTGTTAACGAGTTTGCCTTGGTGTCAAGGCCAATTTGGCGGAAAGCTGGAGCGGAATCATATGGAGCAGACACCTGAAGAATCCACCGGGAGAAGTCTCCTGGAAGACCAATTCTGAGAGTCCACGATGACTCCTAGGTACCCGAGAAACTCGGTGCGTGAAACCAGGATTTCGCTTGACCCATCAATGGATCAGATAGGTGATCAGGGAGTCGCACAAGACATCGCTTTGACGTGGATGTATTCAACCTCGCGTTCCGATTCGCCAGCGAGGGGGCTGACAATCTCGCAAGTGGATAAAAGTCGAAAGGGTTGCCATGCCACTCGTATCGCGGAGGGCTGCGGCGCGGTTATGATCGAAGCGGCAATCCAGGATGCCTCGTGTTGGCTCATAGGGCTGCTCCTAATCAGGCAGGCACAAACCATCAATGGAAGCATTCAAGGTTGGGAGATGCAGGCTGGGAAAAGGGTGGGAGATTTGGGAGATGCAGGCTGGGAAAAGGGTGGGAGAATCGAGGTCGCGAATATAAAACTTGAACACTTACAAACGATCGCTAGTTATGAATATTACCCCCGTTCATTCATATACCATCCCTGAGTAGCTCTTCTCCTCCACAAGCCACAAGCAGGGTTATATGTGTTATGTAATGTAGTGAGCATATGTCACAGTGAGCAGACTTGCTTTACATCAGCGGCGCTTAACATCCTATAACATGCCTTCATATAAACTTGGTCACAACCTGCACAATTTTACGACAGCTTCACATCAACCTCCACACCATATGGCAGCTCCAGCTGCATCAAAGCATCAATGGTGGTCGCGGTCGGATTCTCCAGATCAATCAACCTCTTGTGTGTGCGAATCTCAAAGTGCTCCCGCGAGTCCTTGTCCACGTGAGGGCTGCGCAGCACACAGTACTTGCGGATGTGAGTTGGCAGGCGCACCGGGCCCATGATGCCTGCTCCCGTCTCCTTCGCCACGTCGAGAATCTGCTGGGAAGCCGCCTCCAGTTGAGGCACCTGGTACGACTTGAGCTTGATGCGGATTCGCTGCTTCTGGACAGCCTGGATGAGGGAAGGGTATTGGGAGAGGGATTGGTGGGAATGGGAAGGAGGGCGGGACTGAGAGGTGGATGAGAAGCTGCCTACCATGTTGTAGGCGTTTCTGAGGATTCAAATAACGCACACAGGGTACTACGAAACACGACGCAATGTGAAAATGAGGCTATCAGAAGATGGAGAAGTGTGCATAGGGAGCACACGTGCACGCTTTGGTGGGTCATGGCTGCCTGGACAGCCCAAGGCGGAGCTGCTTCAAGTGCACTCTACGCAGCCTTTCGCCAAAATGCAGCAATTGAAGGTTCTCTCCTTCGCCGTCTAGAAACTTGTCTGTCCAACTCCGTCTGCCCACCTCCGTTTCGTTCCCATCCGTCAGTCTCCGTTTCTCTGTCCCCGCTGTCCGTCCATGTCCGTCTTGTTCCATCCGTCTGTCCCCACATGACTTCCTCCGCCTGCCCCCCTTCGTCTGTCCCCTCCATCTGTCATCCACCTGCCTCTGTACCCCCGTGCCTCTGTCCCGTTCCCTGCTGCAAACCGCTGAGCGATCTGAACCTAAAATATTAACCAGTGACTCATGAAGAATAGCAGCAACAGCAGCCAGGCAAGCTCTCACAAGCCCAGCCGCTGCAGCGCGCGACGAGTCCCTTCCCTATGGTCCGAGCCAGACCCGTTTCACGCTCCCGCGTCCCGTGCACAACGAGTCCTGTCACACGATCTTATCTCCGCCGAACCCCGTCGCACGAATCCCACAATGCCCAGCACACAACGAATCCCGTCCTGTGACGCTAAATGCTGCCACAACCACCCGCTTCTCCGACCTGTCAACCCCTGTCAACCCCCCTCAAGCCACCTGCCCCCTTCCCGCCATTGCTAGAAACCTTCCTAGGTTGAGACACATCAATATCGTGACTGGATCCTTCTAATATTTCAATAACCGAGAACCTTAAGCTCTCGGTGCAAACGGAAATACACTGCTTCGACAGGAGAGCATTTTCCGGGACGCACCGGGGCTGCAACAGCAGCGGCGGCTGATTGCGTGGCGGCGGAGGCGGCGACCACGCGGCGGTGCAGGCGCGCGGAGGGGGAGGCGGAAGCCGCCGCCAGCAGCGACCGCTTGGCGACACCGCCAGTGGCTAGCTGGCACGGCGACGAACCCTCTCCCGAGAGAAAGCTGGATTTCAACGCTCCCTGAAATGACGGAGGTAAGGATTAGGATTAGGCGGGAACCAAGAATGGCAAACCATCGGAAGGGGGACCTTTAACCGAACATATGTGTCAGCGGCTAGTTAAATTCGGGAACATGTAACAATTATATGGCTCATCAATGCTAACAGCGCCGCAGGAATGCAAGCA